CTCTGTCTCTCTCTCTCTCTCTCACTATCTGTCTCTCTGGCTCTCTTACACACACATACACACACACATAGGTAGACAGATTAAACTGCACCAATACAAAACGGATTACCGACTGCTGTAGCGCCAATTATTTCCGAGCCTTCGCTGATTCGAGAAACTGACAGTTAACATATTATTAATAATATGTCCAAACTTTGAAAATACGTAGATTGAGTTTATTCTCTAATACTGACGTTCTGTCTAATGAGAAAATTCTCTGCTTTTAGAAGGATGCAGCGTTTCTAGTGTCTAGAGCTTGTTTTCTTTTGTCTGCCCACAGTTAAAACAAGACAATATCAAATCACTTTCTTTTAACTTCTCAGATCTTTGCTTTCAGGTCTAAAATATCGATGACCAACAGAATCTAAAAGCCCATTCAAAAAGGTCACGGCAGACTATGGTTCCGACTGATTTTCATTAATGTTAGCCGAAAGTGGAAAAAATAATAGGAGATTTAGAGCATACACCAAGGTCCTTAAAACGTTGACATATTTTCCTCAACACCACACTTTAAACGTACGCCAAAGAAACATGATTCAAGAGACGGGTTGAATAATTTTTAATTTCCGAGACTCACGTGGAGACCTCTGAACAGTCGGGGGAAGGAATCTGCAAGCTGACACTGAAATAACGGGGCAGGGTGGTGTTTCTGTCTCAAAATGAGCAATTTGAAGGCAAAGTTACTGTTAGTCATCTATTTTTGCGATCCTGTGAGAATGTATCCAAAGAGCGGTTTTTAATATAGAACCCAAATAGAGTTATTACTTATTACTGATCAAGACTTCTTGAAAAAATATTTTTGTTTGGCCGTTGGCCTTTCAGAAGTGCCATGCACAGTTTCGTGGGCAAAGGTGAATTGATAAATGAGCCTGAATTTTTTAAAACTGGACGGACGAAAGTGAACAAGCTGTAATGCATTAATCTGGGAAGGGTTTGGGTCGTGAAAATGAATAAAACAGCATACTGTTTGGTCAGTCAGCTGGAAATTACTGTTGCATTACATCTGATCGTCGTAGATAGACTAACAAAGACAAAATAGCAACAACAACAACAAAAGAAATTAAAAATAGCTTCGATTTTGGAAATGGTTAATTCCAATTCCTCCATGTCTGCCAACGAGGAAAAGCTGAAGCGTGTGTGCTACCTTTAGATCGTCTGTTAAAACGCAAAAGGCCATCTCCACAAAATGATGGCAGTCAGTAGTAGTAGTAGTAGTAGTAGTAGTATAGGTTTTACGGTGCTCGCAACTGCTAAGGTCATATGAGCGCGCTATGGCAGTCAGAAGAGACTAGAAGAGAAAGCGACAGGCTTTGATTTTACCAAGAGTTTTACGGCACTTGCAGCACAATAAGGTCATCAGTGCCTAAGAGTAGAGGTGCTACAAAAGAGTTACAAACATGGAAAAGTGGAGAGATAAAGAAGATAGATATTTGATATAGAAAAAGGAGCAAACCACACCAGAGCGCTCACAACCATCCACACAGCGAACGGGCAAAGACAAAGACCCCAAAGTGAGTTGCACGAATATAAAGTTTTCTAGTTCTCCTTGTCCAGATGCCCAAACTACACAAATTTCGGCTCTAAGTGAGGCTGCACCTTCTGCTTGGGGTAAGGGTTTGAGATGGGGG